TTATGATGAAAATATATTACGTTGTGAAATTTTTATCATATATTTCAGAAGTAGAATGCCAGAAACAAGCATTACGGAAATAACGGTAGAAAAAACACCAGCATATTTTGTAAGCAAAACCGCTCCTGGACGAATTCGCAGTTTGAATTCAACAATTAAATTGATTATTGTTGTGCGAAATCCGATTACCAGAGCTATATCAGGTAATTTAACGAAATTTTTTTTTTTTTTGAATATTTTATTGCTGGTAATATGAAACTTTTAACAGTTACATACATGATTTTAAACCATTTTTTTGTAAAAATTTGAAAATTTTTTTTTAAAATAACGAAGCATTTTATTTATATTAGCGAAAAAATTGCTTTTGGATTACAATTTCAGACAAAATTTTTGTAGCTTTATTTAAAACTAAATTTTAGATTATACGCAAGCAATCAGTAAAAAGAGACGAAATACTCTAATGCCAAGTTTTGAAGAAATGGTACTAGGCAACAATTCATCTAATACAACTGGTACTCTAATTATTATTAATTGAGAATAATTTATTGATTAATTTCAAGACAGTAGTCATGCGTAATTAAAGTTTAATTAGAAATTTAAATTCGAATTTGTAGTAATAATAATGTTTGGTAGGTATGAAAAATGGCGTGAATGCTTCATGGGGTGCAATCCGAATTGGAATTTATCATAGACATATTCGAAGATGGCTTCAGCATTTTCCACTTCATCAGATTCATTTCGTAGATGGCGAACGACTGATTACAAATCCTGCCGCTGAAATTTATGCTGTTGAACGATTCCTAACTGTTAAACCAGGTAAATGCTTATAGAATTTTATTAAAATACCAATCTACTGTCAAAAATTATATCCTTACATTTATTTATAAAATTGATAAGTTTCAATTTAAAACTGATTTGATCAGTATTTTTTTTGTTCTTCTTGCATCTTTTACATAAAATTGCCATGGAATATTTCATATAACACTAGAGCTGTATTAACATATAAGCAAATGAAGCTTATATTTTCACATTTTTTTTTTCTTCAAAAATACTTTTATCAAATTAAAAACTCGAAATATTGTAGTTGTTCGACAATCAAATTTTGCTACGGATCCATTAAAAGGTTTCCCATGTGTATTACGAAAAGATGATACTTTGCACTGTCTCGGGAAAACAAAAGGTCGAGCTCATCCACATGTACGATTAGATGTCATCCAAAAATTGGAAGATTTTTATCGTCCACAAAATGAGGAGTTTTTTAAGCTTATTAACAGACGGTTTCATTGGCATTCTTATTAATCAAGTTTCAGTGCCTTTTTATTAATATTTACCACACCTCATCTGTGTTTTTCTTTCTTTCATTAATAGTAATTTTCTTTTTTTTTTTTTTTGTTGTTGGATCTTAGTTTTACACCATTGAGTTTAAAAATTCAAAAACTCCCCACTTATGCCTCATAATCCTTTCTTGCTAGGTTTAAACATTTGAGACGTTTAAATTTTAATTAAATTCAAAGCAGTAATTTCGAGTATAAGGATCTTACATTCACCATTTATTGAATTTTGAGTAGATTTGATGAGATGATTTGAGAATGAAATTACGTAATTAACCGTTTCTGGAAACATCTTCCAATGCTTCCAAAAGTCTCATAACCTGGAAGTCGTGTTGATACTTAGTATTCTCAATGGATTCATTCCGGTTAAGAATTTTTTTAACACTGCAAGTTTTCTTTTTAATTTGATTAAGCAATGAAGCAACGACGATCAATTGTTATTATTAATTATTTAATTTAATATAATTTAACAATTCCTTGTTCTTGCTTGATCTCGCTTTGTAATTTGTAATTTTTCGTTGTGTATATCAATTGTTAAGCATAACTTTTCGGGTATTTTTGATTAAATTATGATTGAAATATCTGTACGTTTTCGTTGATGCTTCCAAATACGTTTGCGTTTTTATATTTTTATACATCGCGCTTTCATCTTTTCTAAAAGATAGCGAACGTTGAAAATAATTGTAAGCCGTATAATTTGTAACAAATATTTGAGGATATAAAGAAATATTTCGACGACATTAATTAATTCTAAATTTTCCGAATTTAACTTTGTTATCATTTTATTCAAGCAAAATTTCTTCGCTATTATAATATCATAATCAAAATAAGATTACTGTCATGTTTTAAGCGTGCTGTGATATTGCAATTTTTAAATATGATTGATATTTTTTTTTGATAATATATATATGGTTAAAAGTTATTACTCAAAATATCATTATGAAAAAAAAAAATTCACCCGTATCTTTTAAACATATGCAAAATTTATAAAATAGTGAGAAGAAAAGATAATTGTAAACAATAGCAATATAAAAATAATCGTAAATTTTTGTATTCCAAATATAGAAAGCTTCATGAGAAATACAAATGAAAAAATTATCACATATGAAATTTTTAGTAAAATGTGATGGTATTAAAATAGTGTTAATGATTGCATAGGCATTTTTTAACATTTCAGAATAGCTTTCAGAAAGTTTAAATGTTTCTGAAAGCTTTTCTGAATTGTTTGCAGAAAACTGATAAAGCCAACAAAAAGAAAAGAAGAGAGGGAAAGAGAAAGAAAACGAAAATATGTACAGTACATTTCAAATGTTCCAGTAAAAGGATAATTTGACTTTTCCACTAACCTAAAATGTTTATTATCTGATCTGTCCGGGTGAAATAATGTAATGTGCCTTCTAAATACATATCGAATACTTAAATTATATGTCAACGATTTGTATCGCTTTGTTTCATCAACTTTTTAATGCAACTTTTTCAATTCCTTTTTCTGGTTTATTCAAAGTTTTGTTTTCGAAAAAAAAAAAATAATATGCTTATAATTCTGTCCGTTTACATATAAATCATCTAAGGCTTAAAGATTTACGAGATCGGTAGGACAGTTTTACAATATTGATAGGAAAATATATGGGAAAATGCATTTGTGATATGATATATTGGTCATTTTAATCTAAAGAAAGAAAAATTCGTTTCGCTCGAAGTTTAAGCGAATAAGAAAATGGATGACATTTCCAGTAAGATTCAATGATTGTATTTCAAGTCAATTTTATTAAATTAAATTAATTAATGGTAGAATTTTTATGAAAAGGTAAAATTCCAGTGAATTCAATCTATCAATCAGTGCTGAAAATCTCACAGGTACAACAACTAATCTCACCTTTGAAATACTGTTTGCAGATTAAACTTCATCATCAATACACCTTTCATGTCTCGACTCCACAGCGACATGTTGACACAATAGTTTCGCATTATGCACCCGATTATAGTGTTCGGGCCGTGTTTTGTTCGCAGTATAAGGACGCGTTCGGATGGACGGTATGACGAGAAAAGGATCATAGGAGGAAGTTGTAAGTTGTCGAGTTTGTAAGAGAGAGTTGGGGAGGATGTGTGTCACGTGGGATAACGTAGGCATTATGGATTTGCAGTATTTTGACTTATTTAGATAGTTCGAGTTATTGTAATGAATACCGTACTATATTAATAGTATTTTGTATTCATTACATCATAACAAATTGCATTTATGTGCAGTGCAACTTACAGGACTTTTTATTTTACTGGAATAGTTCAGTTATTTAGTACAACATTTCCTTAAAATTAACAGATTCATTGATAATGAATATAATTATGCTTTGAGTTTTCTAAAAAAGTTAGCTATCAAAATTTTCCCAGCAATTTGTTTTGATACAAAAGGTTGGCTGAAATCGCGATGAATTAATCGCTTACGTTTACAAAGTTTTAATTCATATCATCAATTTATCATTTTGGGAATCCTGGAAATGTTTTGTGAATTTTGCCTAATTCGATCTGTTTTATAATTTTCAGTTTAACATGTTGTTGGTCATACGGTAATTCTCTTAATTATTCCATGTATTTATAAATTTACTTACAAATCTTATCAATCCGATCATTTCCAAGCAAAAAGCATTTGAAAACGGCCTTTCAAAATGGTAAGGAATTGATTTTCTTTTACTCCAAATAAAAAATGCTTATGAGCTGAGTAATGTGCTATACCTTGCTGGAAAATACATATTATCCGGAAAAAATTATGTTCTAGGCTTTCTTTGGATTTGGTCAAGCTGCGGAAATTTCGATCAAATTGGATGATGCAGATAATAGGAAAGTAAGTTCTTCATTTTCTTTCATAGTATTATTTTCGACATAAATTTTGCGAGGAAGAATTGTTAAGATATGTCAGGATTATGATTTAATTATAAGGAGTGAATTTAACTGAGTGGAAATGATAAATTGAAGTGTAATATAGTGGTAAAATGGGCTGGGTGATTTAGGGGTACGCTTCGGGTGCGAGAAGTCCCGGTTTCGATTACCGGCTTAGCCCGTCTAACCAATATTTTCAAATTATTATAATTATTGGATGGTTATTTCAGGTAGCTAAAATACGATGTGAAGAAGGAGGTCAAGAAACCCATTTCCTGTTTTATGATGGTGAAACAATATCTGGTACAGTTGGGGTTGCTGTGAAGAAAAAATTTGATCATCAAGGAATAAGAATTGAATTTATTGGACAAATCGGTGCATTGTTGTCTCATAGCTTTGTTTTATTTTATACAGTTATCTTTTTGCAGCAATTGGCTGGTACTATTCCATGACTTTATAATAGGAAGCATCATGCTTAAATATGTATTTCAAAAGTTTTCTTAATGAAACTTTTAAATAAATTCCTAGTGTATTGACGATTGATTAAGATGACAATCAACGCTGTTTTGTCAAAAATTATGAAATTAATTCAAGTCGGACATGAATTTTGACCCTAAAACTTTCATCGTTGTGTAGCTTAAATTATTTTTGAGCAACTTCTTATTCAGAAATACGATCACATTTAGGCTTAGTGTGTCCATTGCTTTTCTCGTGAGTAGTTGTTTACGAGTACTGATTCCTTCATACATATTTGACCATAAAATTTTTGCAAATATTTTTCTTTCAGAGCTAAATTATGATCGTGGTAATCAGCATGATTTTATAACATTAATGAAGGAGTTGGCTCGTCCAGGGGAACTGACGCAAAATGCGGTTTTTCGGTTTGAATTTCCAAAAGTTGAAAAACCATATGAATCATATGTTGGTGCAAATGTGAAATTGCGGTATGTCAGTTTTTATTATAAAAATATTGTTGCGAATTTGTGAAAGGAAGAAACAAAAAGGCATAGCCAAAAATGTTTTGGGTTTTTTTAAAGCTAATTTTTGTAGTGAACTCATTTGAGCGTACCCTCAAATTGTGGACATCTTTTCTAGTCGAGATAAAGATTGTTTAAGCCTTGAAAAGATTGTTCAAGTAATCAAATATATCGATGTATTTCGTAGAATATAGGAATTTCAAGGAGGTGATTACAGTAACAATGTATTGATAGAATATTACTATTGTATATGTTATTACAGCTACTTTCTAAGAGTGGTTATTGTGCGAAGGTTAACAGATATAATACGTGAAATGGATGTTATCGTGCATACGCTTTCTTCGTATCCAGATACAAATAATAGTATCAAAATGGAAGTTGGTATTGAGGATTCTTTGCATATTGAATTCGAATATAATCGTTCCAAGTAATTGTGTTTTATTTTCTTCTAATTTTTTTGGAGAAAAAGTTTGTCCATTTTGATACTACTATTATTTGTATAGCAATGTTAGAAATATATAAGTACTTACATATTTCAAGCTCATACAGGCTCATTCAACTGTTGATATTTTTCGAACAGAGTAAGCCCTTAATATACATATTGGAGCGTAGATCAGACTTTTTAAAGGATAAGAAGTTATAAATGAGATGTTATAAATAATAAGGAGGAGTTATAGATGCGAAGTTGTCCTCGTTTAAGTCTAGCAACAAAAACATTACATTATATTAAAAATAGTATATTACAGATATCACTTAAAAGATGTGATTGTTGGAAAGATATATTTCTTATTAGTTCGGATCAAAATTAAATTTATGGAAATTGCAATAATCAAACGAGAAACAGTAGGGAATTCGCCAAATATTTTCAACGAGAATGAAACAATAGCAAAATACGAAATAATGGATGGTGCACCCGTGAGAGGTGGGGATTATTCTTTTTTTTGCGGTGGTATAACTATAAATCAGCAGTATCAGCTGCCTTTGATAAATACTGATATGTATTTGACTATCGCCAAGTCAGTTTCACATCAAAATAAATTATGATATATATTTCAGAATGTAGAGTTTTATCTCTCATTTTCATCCACGTGACGAACAAGCTTCATTGTAGTACTTATTTTAGTCTACCACTAGAAGTTCTGTTACTGTTATTATTTTTTGTTTAACTGTGAAGTGCAGGTAATCACAGTGAACTAAAATGATTTTTAGGTGAATCAATTCCAATACGTCTTTTTCTTGCTGGTTATGATTTGACACCAACAATGCGTGATGTTGGTAAAAAATTCTCAGTTCGCTATTATTTAAACCTCGTTTTGGTTGATGAAGAAGATCGTCGTTACTTCAAGCAGCAGGTAAATCATTTCACTATAATCTTTATCACTTTTGGAAGTATATATGCAATCAGTGTAATATGTCTGGCATTGGTTGCACAATTGCAGACTGGACGAGGTTGAGCACTTAATCTTCCGTGAAAAGGTGCCAGCCGGATTACTGATTTAATGTGACTCTCCGATTAATTAAGTGTCGTTGGTTTGTTTATAATTAATTGAAGCTGGATTTTTTAGATTTAACTTTTAACGCTGTGACTATTTTAAGGAGATGACATTATGGCGTAAAGCTGACAAGATAAGTCGGCACATTTCGGTAGAAAATATATCTGGAACAAAAGCCAATGGAGAAGCGGCGACAGCGGCAGCAATGCAGCACACGAAGATTGAAGCTGGCAAGTGATTTTGATTTTAGAAGAAAAAAAATACCATATACATTGTGTCTTTTCGCTTTCCTTGTAAATTTTTAATTTTTATTGTTGTACTCTTTATAAATCAGACACTAATTTTGCATATTATAATTTATATCTGAGGTTATTCTATGAATGGGTAATCATAAATTGGTGATTTCGGAACAGTAGATTAATTGTTCCAGAAATACAATATTAAACGTCAGTTTCTGCCTATCGAACATAGATGCTTACCGATTCGTGAAGAATTTATGTATAGTTTTGCAATAACAACTATTTAAACTAATTCGCTTATTCACTTTTTTCCAGTTTGCTTTAGGCATTTTAGTATTAGTCTGTCATGTTTTTCAGTTCATAATGGCTTTTCTGTGTTATACTTGAGATTGACGACATTTGACAATTTTTATTTTTTACATCAATATTTTTATTAGATCCCCAAATTAAATTTTTTGTAGGATTTTTAAAATACTAATCTGCGGAAGGAAGGTCGTGTTTTAAAAGAATTTGTTGCTTGCGATAGATTTCAAGTATTATGCAACACTAATCAGATTCATCCATTTTGGGCACAAAGTAGTTAGAGAAGCTGACGTTCCCTTCGTTGTAACGTCAAGCTTCATATGTAATTGTGTTAGGTTATGCCCATAATTCATGAAGCATATTATGTTTCATCTCGGTTTTTGAAACGGGTGAGGAGGAGCAGTTGTATAATTGTATTCTCATTTCTTTTCTGCCTAAGCAATGTGGTGAGAATCATTTTACTTGTCAGTGAACGAAGGTTCCGTCGCTTCATCAATTTTTTGCATGATTTTTCTTTTATCTGTAGTTCCTGGGTAACATAATTGAATTTATCTTTATCACTAAAATATTATGATGCTGATTACAAATACTTTCTCTGTGCCTTATTGTAGCTCTTTGAGCTCTCCTATGTTGCCTGCATGTTTTGCACCAACATTTGGAAACAAGTAATTTCGGACCACTTTATTTATATCATTTATATCTTTTGCATACTGATTTTGTTATCTTGATATGTTGTTCTATTTTGAAACTATGAAAAGTCAGCATAATTGGCATGTGTCCCGCAAATGTGAAGTTCGATGTCAAATATTGAAATTGTTTTCTCATTTCTTTTATTTCAGGACTATCTGGTCAAGTGTTTTAATGATACAAGTTGATATAATATTTTTTAAGGGGATCATTTTAATGTCTAAAATTCGCTGATCTGTAATGCTTGCGGGTCACATGCTATGTTTCGTCGTATAATTGCAGTTATTTTCAAGCGTCATCTTCTGAGACTTTTTAATTCCACTTAGTTACATTCGCTTTAAAAGCTGTCTATTCTCTTCGTTTTCTAAACATACTTTGAAAGTATGAAATACATATCGGTGCTGTGTATTTTTACATTATCTATTTCTGTTTAGAATATTGTGTAGGTATGTTGCAATGGTATATTGCTGCTTCTCTGGACCCTGAAGATTATTTTATAGTACAAGCGTCACTCATTTGTGCCAAAATGTCCCAAGCATTTCGAAGTTCATTCCTCTTATCGTTTTTAACATAACCATTGTTCTTGTTCATAAGGTGGACGGGCGCCCTAGTCTCCAAAAGTCTTTTTTTTTTTTTCGCTAAATGCGGATTTCCGAAATACTGTATTGGAAAATCGCAAACCATTCACTTTTTTATAGTTAATAATATTTCCCTTAGCCTCAAGTTTCCAGATCACATAGTAACTATTCTGCCCGCTCTGGTTTGAAAACCTTATGCCGGACTTTCCCGCGCTTGTTTTCGACTTCTATTATATATGTCCTTTTGTTTTTTAACTCATAACTTCCAAAAACATAGATTTTTAATACACTATATTATGGATTTCTCGGAATATACAAGACATAGAGGTCATTCCCGAAATTATCGAAAAGATTTATTCAACAGGAAATGAAGAGAAATGAAACACAAGATAGATTCTTCCGGCAAACTTAAGGTGCTTTTTGCATGAACAGATGGAGTTTTTCCAAAACACTAGAATAAAACATTTTGTATAAAAACAGAATCAGTTCATATTCAAGATAATAAAGTCAAAGATTCTTCCGATAGACTTGAGGTGTACATGAACAGATGAAGTTTTTCCAAAACACTATAATAAAACAATTTGTAGCAACACAGAATCAGTTCGCATTCAATAAGGCCAAAACTTCGCAAAAGCAACTGAAATACAATTTATATGTCTTAATAGAAAAATGCTTCTTAAGGTACACATTTTCTCAACCCATAGCAAACTCAACCGTATCAGTATTTAGAGATAAGTTCAAAAATTCGAGACTAGCTTCATGATGAACGAAACCTCCTCCAATTCCCATCCATCTAAATCAGCCTCAGTTTTCACCGATTCAAATTGATTCTCATATCTTGGAGAGTAATGCTGCCAACGCATCAATGTTCCCATTAACGCACTCTGAAATTTCGCTAGCACTGCAAAGAACAGTCAAGGATTTGTTTCCTTGCAGTAATTTGGAAGGCAAAGTTTTAGTTTGTTTCTTTTAGCCTGCAAAGAACAGTCAAAGATTTGTTTCCTTGCAGTAATTTGGAAGGCAAAATTTTAGTTTGTTTCTTTTAGATCAATCTAAATTGCACGTAGTTTGATTTTGCAGTTTTGATAAAAATGAATAGTTGAATAATTTTGAAAAATTGACAAACCGCTGATAATGCTGCTTCGTCTCCCACTATTTTATTTTCAGCTTCAAGCACTTCATTGTTGTTAAAACAGGTAGAATTGCTGTAATCTTGTATCAAGAGATTAGCTGATGACTCCGGCACGAGGTCGTTGTTACCATCCATCCTTTCGCTATATGTAGTGACAGATTCAGAATTCTATAAATCCAAACAATCACAACTTATCATTAACATTTGTTGAATGAAGCGTAGATAACCTGCTGCTGGTTCTTCAAATTTTAAAATTTGAAATTAACCTCATCAGGTCTGTTGTCTTGATTTTCTTCAAGTTCTTCTGGCAAACGGCCACATCCATCGCACTGACATTCCAATAAGCAATGTGTTTCACATTCGGTATCATCATGAAGTGTAAAAATATCTTGCAATTCTTCATCGGAAAAATGTGTAAATGCTAAAAAAATTAGAGATGCGATTTTGGCTAGGTGATGTGTGAGAGATGACTTCAGCTATTTATCTTCTTCAGTCAATGAAAATAGTATAAAAAGGTTGATACAGCAATCGGAAGAAGGCGCAGTTGCAAATAAAAATAAAACTTACATTCGGGTGGAACCATCTCAACGATTGTATTGAGGCTACTTTTTTTGATTTGTCTTTGCAAAATTTTTTCATCCACAGTGCCCTAAAAGTATGCCATAGCGACACTAAATCACCTCATTTATTACAACAGCTACATTAAGAGCAATAAGGAATACGTAGTCTATACAGATTCCTTAATGAACTGTAAATCTCAAATAATACCCCAGTGATGAGTCGATAAATCTGACATGGTTTTTTTTGTCCTTGTCGCCAGATACGAGCCATCGCTTGTATATCCACAGCTGGATTCCAGTCCAAATCGAACAAAACCATTCGACTAGCGCCAATGAGGTTTAAGCCAAGTCCACCTATTGGAAAATTCATACGATATCAAAGACGAAATGATAAATGTGAAATCATAAGCAGCTAACACTAAGATTTCATTATAAACCACCTGCTTTGGCACTCAACAAGAATGCACAACTTTTAGTTGATGATGAATTGAATTCTTCCACAATTTCCATTCTTTTTTTCGCATCGGTTGAACCATCCAAGCGTAGAACAGTGTAAAATAGACCTCGACAGAGATCCTCCAGGAGGTCAAGAGTCTGAAGAAAAAGGTACATAAAAACTTCCTACTGATGGGTCTCTTTTCCGTCATTTGAAGTAAAGCTTACAGATAACACAAGAAACATTCTTCACCTGTTGGAATAGAAAGTAAAGCAACCTTAACATTGCACTTTAAAAAGTTTCAATATAAAAAAGTAAATTCAGTTTGAATTCCTTACATTTTTTCTGACATTAAGAAACATACATGAGTGAAATTGGAAACAACAACCACGTTTTCTTCCTGTGTTCGAAATGCTGTCACCAACTCGCAAAATACACTAAGTTTACCTGATAAAATAGTAAATGCTGCATAAATTTTCTATGAAATAATTGAACAAATAGATCTGGAAACGTGTAGATCTAAGAGAAATTTCATTGGAAAAATGAATATTTAAAGAAACAAGAGATTATGAAACAGTTAGATACCTGAGTCACCGACTGAAAGTGAAGTATCATTGAAAGTGCTGGGGAACAATCCAAGGAGTGAGTTGTAAAATTCTTTTTCTTCCATCTGAAAGCAGATTCCAAATCATTTTCTTTGACACTGAACATAAATTACATAAAAATGTGAAAAATTTTAATTAGAAATGTGAATTTATCCCCAAATCACTGAATGCCGTTTGGTAATAGTGTGAAGTTCATAAGTTAGGGCATTGTAAGTTTGCTTTCTACATTCATGGACAGCACATTCAGTGCTCTGAATGATACGATTGCGAGTTCATTATACAATGTAATTAGAAATCTAGATAATGTTTAAATAACATAAACCGAGACTGCCGATCAATTCATAAAATATACTACCTTACAACTCTGAAGTTTCACCACAATACTTCGATAAAGAAGACATGGATGATTACATAACTTTCGCAAGACATCAATCAAAGTTAAGTGATCATACGAGAGGAACGTCTTCAAGCGTTTGTATACGAAGCATTGTAATGGTGATGGTTGACACCAAATTATGTAATCAACTACAAAATATTTGATTATTATAGATGACTGACTAATTTATGAAAAGGAAGACATTCTCAAAAAAAACAGAGAAACGGAAAAATAGTCAAAAAATTGACTAGGCTGACAGATTTTAATAACTACTGTAAGAAGCTTTATATACAACATTTTAAATTCATTCATCAATTCTTTTCTCGTTACCCAATTCTCAAACCATCTTTTCTATCTTTTATCTGTCCCATTTTAAAATTTATCATCAAAATTATGAACTCTTCGGCGGTAGACAATCATGGATCACTTCAGCTGTTCGGCGGAGCATCACCTCGGCGAGCAATCCGTTGAAAAGAATTGGCTATAAAGTATCTGTTCTTAAACAGTAATCAAAATTGCAAAAATATTCTTTTTATCTTATCAACATTGCTTATTTGACTGACTGGTTTATCTTGTTAAGTTCACGTTTTTTTCATTTCTGTTAAATAGTTGCTTTTAAAATTACGGAGAAAGAGTAGGTCACAGGAAGCTGGAAATTGAAATAACCATTAAGCTTATGAATTATTTGTCAATCACTACGAGAAATCATTTTTATCTGATAAATATGCAAATACCTCCACTTCACAAAGATGTTTGAATTCCGAAAAAGCGGTAAAAAGGTCCGGTCGTGCAAAGCTAACCAGTGAATAGAATTCTTCCAGATCATTTTGCATTGGCGTTCCTGTCAGCAATAAACGACGTTGGGCATGCAAATTTTGGAGCTAAAAATTTTGCAGCTAAATTCCTTATATAGAGTTTAGATTTTAAAAACTTTTTTACTAATCGGGCACACCTGTTCTCGAAGTCTTCCATTTAAATTTTTAAGTCTATGTGCTTCGTCGCAAACCAGCAGATCAATCGAAACAGCCGACAATTCCGCAGCGGTGCGCGCAATCATATCATAGCTAACGATGGCAATTATTGGTGTGTTTCGATACGAAATCAGCTTTTCTACATCTGTTGACTTTAAAATCCGAAACAGCTGAAAAAACTTATTTTGGATTTATCCGAAAAATGACTATTTCCTTTTCGATAACAGTCAAAAAATTACCATTGACTGCGTCTGCGGCGACCATTTTATAAATTCTGCGTACCAATTATTTAGTAGTGATGTCGGCACTACGATAACACATCGCCGAATTATTGGCTTTTGATTTAGTCGTTTTTTGATTAATGCCATTATTAACGAAATAGTTTGTACAGTTTTACCCAGACCCATCTCATCCGCAAGAATGGCTCCACCATGAGAACCCTTCAAAACAATACAATTAAAAATTCATAATGATATTTTGAAGAAATTATGCATTTATTTCTCAAGCTCAGATTAAATTTTAGTTCGGTTCATAAACAAAAGACAAAAGCAAAACAAGTCGGCAGTCAATTAGTTAAAATTTGGTAAATGTTATCTTTTCCAACAAATGAGTGGTGAAATTTTAGTCCCAAATGAGTGGTTGAAACTTTAATTTTAATCCCTTTTTTTTGGAATTCTAAAAAGATAAAGTTCAGCAACAGCGAGAAACCTTTAAACATTTGTATATGAAAGCGATGCCAGACTTTTGGTGCGGCTTCAGACAGGAAGCAATTTGCGCATCCACAGCAATTCGTCGTATAGAACCATCATCATCTTTTGTCTAATATAATATTAACTTAGAAAATGATCATGGAATGATAGTATTTTCTTTCAAAAAATTTATGGAAAGGAAGAAAGCTATAAGAAGTCATCTTATCTCGAATTATAATTATAATAGCGAAATAAATACCTCATCCAACACAAAGTCCAAAGGATTATCACGCCCAAACAGTGGCGAAATAAAATTCTGATTGGTAATTTTTTGCCGTTTTTTTGAATTCCCGCCATCTAATGCAGTGCTTTGTATCGGTTCAGCAGGCGCCGCTTGATTTTCAACGTTTTCCGCTTCATTAATTGCTGTAATCGCAACAATAACAAACAAGATATTTGTGGCCTATAATTTCATGTAAAAATTTTGTGCAATATATTTCTAAACAAAAAAAAATACCGGGCTGCCGCGGGTTCAGCTCGGCTTGCACCTCCACTTCATAATTATTAATTTTCAAACGACTGCCCTTCTTCAACTCGGTCAATTGTTTTATTGAATAACTACTCGCCTTTGCAATTTCTTTGCCTCTCTAAATGACTAGAAATTTGAATTAATCAGAAGAGACATCAACACAGTTTGAATGATATCACTGATCAGAAATCATTATTCAGGTTATTGCGATGATACCGGTCATTCAGTGTATCAGTGTAGTACGTGTCAACCCATTGAAATCGCGAATCGTTGAACGATTCCGTTTAAACTCCCATGGTTAAGCTATTAATAATTCAATATCAAAGATTATTAAAGCCAATTAAAAAATGCATTTTTCTGACACTAAAGCGAAAAAAGATAACCTCTGTTTGCAATATGACTGAACGTTCACGACAGTATAACAATCCATCACCTTGCCATCTTTTATGCATCCTTGAGGATAATTTTCCATAAAGCACTTCGTAACAACGGTAAATTCCTTCATCTATAAAAAAAAAATGAATTTCAGAGAAAATTTCAATTCATGATATGAAATACCAATGAAAATAATAAAAACACCAAAAATGCAACAAATATTCGTAAATAATGACATAATAAAGTATGATGAAGCTATGATATCCCTAGTAAATTAAAATATTTCTGGTTTTTTTTTTCTACATAAGATAATTCGAATGCATATAGCAGATAATTTAAAAGAGTTAAATTCAGACAAACTGATCTTAACGGTGGTTATTGATGTGACAAATCAATGAATGATATTACCTTGGCTCGTTATGATATAATCACCATCATCTGATATGCTGGATTGCGATGCGTAATGACTTTCCCACTGGCTAGAATATCGCTCCATTATTTCGAACTTGCAAAAATATATAGCAAAAATATATACTACCACCTTTTTGTATACTTCTATACCCTAAAAAAGAAAAAAAAAAGAATTGAATCCTGATAAGATTCTACCGGAAAGAATTAGCACCTCCCAACCAAAATCCCATAATCCAAATTCACTTCGACCCGCGTGTTCTGAAAGTAGGCTAGACGGTATTTTGCGGTTTATGAGATTTTTAAATATTCCACAATACCGGAATACGGTGTTGGCAGCTTCCGCAGTGCATTTCGCTCATATATAGAAGCGTTAGATAATGTTAAATTTTATCATTTTTCACTTTATCTTACGAAAATTATCTTCCAGTTACAAGCATTTAAAAATTTCAAAACTGCACAAGTTATTTCTAAAATTTACTCCTCAGCTTTTTATGTTTTAGCGAGTGGCTAAAATGACAAATCACCAGTGAATGTTAACTCAGCAGACTGCGCCTAACATTCTTATCATTTGATAACACCAAATTAAAATTCATTTTTAAACTTTTGAATCTTTCAAAATTTCCTTTCCAATTTTTGTTTCCATTTTGAAGTCAGAATGCTTGATAAATTTAACCTTTTTGGTTTCCAAAAGACTATTTGGGAATTCTAAGGCATATCACTGATTATCTAAACATTTTATAATACTACTTCATGTCGACGAGTACACTGCAAAAGCTTGCCAATAACGTTGATATTGCAAAATATTTAAAAGTCTCGGCAAACCGCAAAATATCGTCTCGGCTACTTTTAGTAAATAAAATGCTTTTGTATGCTGGATGGAGTGATTTAAGCTTGGAACTTTGGTTGAGATATTTGAATTGGTGATAATATCTGTCGGTTCTTTCTGGTAAAATTATTGCTAGAAATTAGTTTATTATGGAAATCTTGTCATCATAATCAGAAACGACAAGTATAAATGATATGTGCACGTAAAACAATGCACGTAAAACAAATACACGTACTGTCGAATTTAATCATTTGCGACACTTGAATGAAAAGATATGTTTTGTGATTAATTTAAACAATGTATCTTTTTTTTTTCGGAATGTTTAAGTTAATGAAGACAGTAAACTTACGTTAGAATCAGATCAAATTTATGCGTGATGATATTTCAGAAGGTTAACTTGCAAGTTTCCTAATATGATTACATTAATAATTTAACATCGATAATTCAAATTTCAATGTGAAAGATGGATAAAAAAGAAGCACGAAAGTTTTCTTAAATGTAAAGAAGCAGTTGACTAGAACATTTTGAATGGAAATAATTTGTTAGTGTCATATTAAACTAATAATAAAGTTAAGGGAAAAAGTTTATTTTACTCATAAGATATAGTCAGTAATTAATTAATTAATCAGCGATTAATTCGTTTTTGTTGGCAAAAGAAAAAAAAAGAATCAAATGTTATCCTTACTTTTTTTTCTCTCCATATGCAAATTTTTTTTCTCTCCATATGCAAAAACTAATTTCTTTTATCCATCACCGACGATTATACCATTTAATTAGAATCAAACTTTCAGTCAAACATTGAAATGTTGAAACACTGGGGATAATATTTTTTCCTCAAATTTTATTTTATTCTTCCAAAATTTAATTGGCTAAGTTAAAAATTGAAGAAGTTCGGATCAATTTCGGAATGGGTTGAACTGGAAAAAATAGAAGACATCATTTGAAAAAAAAAACAATTAGGAATTTTCAAAAGTTTAGTAAATGGGAATTACTTAAATAAATTATGAAAAATTAACAAACTGACAATAAATTTAATCAAATCGTATGGATTCTAGCTGAAAGAAATTGGAATTTTATCCTAAAATAAAAAATACCAGGACTAGGAAAAAAACCCGTTAATTAAGGATTGATTTGATGGAATGTTCGGATATACAAATTTTGTTTTTTAAACATCTTGCAAATTTGAATACGATTGAAGCTTATAATTTATTCAAATTAGATTTAATTGAAAGCACTAACCACAGATATTGTGCAACAATTGTACATAGTTTTCACTCTTCCATCACATTTTGATTAGTTTTAAAAATGTCTACCAATTGTACATTTATCTTTTTCAATGTCGATAAAATTGATTCAATGCTTATCTAATTCTATTGAGATATTATCATAGGATTCTTGAAGTTTCAAATGGCTTAAATTTTCAAGTTTTGAAAAGTTCAGTACTGAAAACTTGACATTAATTATTTGAAATTGAAAAATAGAAATGTTAATCTTGCCTACTAATTAATCCTTTTGTTGAATTCCTGAGACAGAACAAATAAAGACAGTTAAGAACTAACTAATAAGCAGTTAGAAAAAAGTTTATACTCAACGAACATAGCAGTGTGCTTTTTAAAAAAAATCAATTTTAAAATTTGATAGAAATTTTTAGTGATGTAAGTAAAACTACTTATCAATTATTATTATTTTCCTATAACTGAAATAAATTTTAATCAATAGTTTTAACTTAAAACGTATAAAATAAAATTGTTTGAGAATTACAATAAAATGAAATTTATGCTATAATTCAAGACTTATTTGATCAACAATCATATGAGGTGAAAAAGCGTGCGTAAATGGATTATGTGAAATTACGTTTTTCTTCACGTGTAATCCCGATTCCTGTTCTGAATCACAAACAGTATGATTTATTTCAAACCTCTGAATGAATTTTTTTTTTTCGCTCATATCATTTATTCCAAGTGAACTAATAGAAACAAACTAATAACGTCAAAATTTAATTGGTATTAAACGAATTTTATTTGTGTCATGCGGATCATACCGTAGTTTAAAACATGCACTTATTATCAATAAAATATTACTCAAATTTAAATTTAATTATTAAGTTACAGAATTTTAAAAATTACGGAAGCATCATCATATCGATTGAGTTCATTAGCACTCATTCTCAGTTCATTAGCACTCATCTCTTATCAATCGCATTATCATACCAATTTTGCTAGACGATATAAAAATTATGTGGACAAGATAGAAATCGTTTTTTTTTTTTTATGATAAAAATTGATGTCAACGAAATAAGTGCATTTCAAAATTTGCTATTTATCCTTCTTTTGTTTTTTTAATCTTAAAAAATTTGAAGCTGTCTTATTCAATATCATGAATAGTGTTGCAGAAATACTTCGAAATATATAAATATTTATTCATAAATAAGATTAGATAGCAATCGATAATTTTCACATCCAAACAATTAACACTTATTTCAATTAAAACAATCTAATAGAAAACAAAACTTATCAATGCTTGTTGAAAAAATTTCAGCAACATGAAAAATTGAAACAAATAAGATTGTCATGCAAATGAAATAATTAGTAACGTATAAAATGATCTGAAATGCTTTGGATTTTTTTTTTTAAAAAAAAAAAAGTCAAATGAAAAAAATTTCACTTGCGAACGAAGAAATTGTTTTGTTGAGTTTATTTATGCCTCCTTTTAGCATGTAAATGGAATAAAAAATCTCCGAAATTTGTGGACAGACTTCCCGGGATTTTTTACCTGAGAATTATTTCCCAACATTTATGCAATTCGATTAGCATGCAGAATTGCATTTTAGGATTTCCATGACTAATTGTCAATTTCTGGAATATTGGGAGATGTTGAAAGTTAAAAAAAAAAACCACTCAAACTCAGTAGTACATTTTAATTTTTATAATCCGGAATATTTCAATCGAGTTATTATGATGCCATTGGAAAAACAAATTTCATTGTTATCATTTTAAAATTTCAATTTCGCATCATCTCAAACTGTATTGATAAAAGCCAGCTTGGAACAATATAATGAACCCCAATGCTCGATAAAATGCATTTTCTGATGATTGCTTTTCTTTAGCATTTGATAAGTTCACGCTTTTATACTTTTAAACGTGGTACTTTATGCATCACTCTTCTTATCCATGTCAGTCTGATTGTGTCAGTCGAACAAGTTTTCGTTTAATGCACTTGTAACTTACGTGTACCCACTAAACTAAATGTAATTCCATTGGGACCATTTTCATGTTACGTGTACTAATTACAGCATTTATTCTTTTTGAGAAAGAAAAAAATCAATTCAAACAAAAACAAAAAAAAAACAAAAAAAATTTATTCGTAACAAATTATAAGACACTACAAGAATGAACGATGAAGAAAAAAAAACAAACAAATAAGCAATGAAACAAACCAATAACAATATTTTTAAATTTTCGAATATTTTGCAATAATCAACAAAATTCGGAATTCTTTATGTTCAGCAAAAAAATGAAAACAAAAAGGAAGAAAGAAAAATGCGAAAAAACTTCGATAAAAATTAAAAGAATAAGGAATGAAAAAAAAAATACGTAAATTATTTTTTCCAACATTTCCAATAAATAAACAATTTTCTCCTCTTTCCTTTTTTGTTTTCATTGAAGAGTATAAAATGTTAAATTGTAAAAATAAGAAAAAAAAAGAATATTATATGATAAAAATTGAAAAAAGAAAAAGCAATTTAGTTT